TAACCAAATTTTCTTCACAAGTTTTAACGTAAGCTTCTAGCTGTTCCTCGGTTTCAATGTTAGAAATTTGTCCGTGAGGGAGAGATGACGATGCTATGCCTCTTTTTGGTTTAACGCCAAACAGAGCTTCATATGGACTCTGGCGTATCCCTTCATGATGAGCTGTGTTTTTGGCGAATTGGACAAACGACAAGCCTTCTGACCATTTATTCGTATCATTATCGTGCATCCAAGCAGTTAACATATTCTGTATGTCCTGATTCGCTCTTTCGACTGAGCCTTGTGTTTGGCTATGACGAGGCTTTCCGTGCACTATTTTAACATCTTTCCACATAGCGCACAGTTCAGATATAACTCGGTTACTGAACTCTCTACCATTATCTGAATGCAATATAGCGGGAGCACCAAATATTAGAAAAATATGAAGAAGGTGATATGCTACTTCTTCTGCTCTCTTGGTTTTTAATGGTCGTAACTGAACAAACTTCGTCAAATGATCCTGGTATACCATTATGAATTTATAATCGCCATCGCCATGTGATTGCAAGTCTATTAAATCCACTTGACATCTAGAGTTTAATTCGGAACTCACCATTGGTTTCACAACAATACCTTTTCTTGGCGCACTGTGTTTCATTTGACATTGTTTACACAAATTTAAATACAACATTATGACTTCATAAGTAATATTTTTGTATTTAGCTTGCAATTCTTTGAGCATTCGTGTTCTACCTCCATGGCCTGTTCTTATGTGAGTTTCGGAAAGTATATCAAATAATTCTTCATTTGTAACATAATACTGAATATTCGTTTCTCCTGGTTTTAATGGCACAATTAGCTTTTGTTCGTCACTAACTTTCAGGATGTCGAAACGTTTCAAACGTCTGTAGTCCAAAGGTGTACTGCACTTACTTTTAGCAGAAGTCACTTCACAAACGATTTTACAGTACCTTTCTTGAGAAAAATAAAAACAATTGTCTTCTCGTTTACTTCTAATTAGGGCATGTAACTTTTCAAAAAACTGATCACTATTGACTGCAGTAGTAGCCATTGAACACAAATTTTAATAACATATATTGAAGTTAAATTAGGTAGTAAGATTGCACGTATACGCTATCAAACCTTGCTTAAGACTAACAAGCCCTAACAGAAGCGGACCAAAGCAGAAAAATCCAGTTTAAACCTGTCGTTTCCGACATTGACCAGAGCTCATTCGTGAATGCCGAGATACACCGGTGAAGGTCCGAAATTATAATAAAACTAATAAATGTTCGGTCTTCCACCAACTCATTTGGTATGTCGACATTAACCGGTGAATGTCGACATTCACTAATTTCGGACTTTCACAGTAACATATACATTACAGATGAGGAGTAGCATTCATAAATTTTACTATTTGATTCTAGGGGAATATAAACATTACCAAACAACAAGTGATCATTATCAATAGTTACCATAACAAACAGCTCAAAGTTGTCGGTGTTTGACAATAATTGCTTATATAAGCAATTAGGTGTTTTTTTATTGCAATTAAAAAGCCATTTTGGGTTTTCAATAAACTTGTTTTCAGAGACCTGTCGCATCGAAAAATAATATAATTATCTTGTAAGCCCATTTCATTTGTTGAGATATTTTCGTCTAAAAATGTTTCTGTCAAAAAGGGCAACATCATAAGATTCAACCATAATACTGCATAACAAATCCTTGAGTTTGGTCTTCATTCCCCTGACATTCTGATAATAACAGCTTATAAGACTTCATCCCTCCGCTGTTTCTAAGTTCTCTAATTACAATTTTAGAATTATTTGCTTTTAGTTTATCACACATGAATCTGCTTAAACTATCTACATTACACTCTATGGAAAGCCTGCCCAAATAAAGCCATTTTTTTATTAGGAAAAGGAACACCTTTTATCATAGAAGATTTATCTGTTCCCATGTGGTGGCTTAGGAAAGGTTTTTACCTACGAGCGTGCGGTAAAGTGCACTTTACCGAATAGTGTGCGGTAAAGTTTACTGCGAAGGGTGCGGTAAAGTTAACTTTACCGCATAGTATGCGTTAAAGTAGACTTTGGTATTTATGATTGAAAATCCTTTCTTTTTCAGGAAATGGATTTTTGATCATTTCGAAATCTAATCTAATTTAATTAATTAATCTAATTCATCAATTATTTTACTAATGCCTTTTTTTGGAGATGTAGATGCTTATAGGTAAAATTTTGTACCTAACACATGCGGTAAGTGCCTTCCCCGCCCTTAACGGCTTGACCGAACTCCGCTTCGCGTCGTTCGGTCAACTGCAAGTTGCGTGCGGTAAAGTATCAGTTTCCGCATTTGTTAGGTAAATAACTATTGTGAAATTGTTTGCATTTGTACCCCGTTTTGTTTGAGTTGATCTACATAGAAAGCATTTGTTATGGCATTGTTCACAAAATTCGGGGTGAAGAATAATTTATTTGGGATATCTAACCTCACATTTATAGCTGATTGTTGTTGGCTGTCTTGAGTAAAATCCTGCCTGTGAAGATTTGGTTTGGCGACTGTAGAATATGATTTGCCGCCGAGTTGATGGAAACGAAATGGGAAACAGCTGATTGCAAACTTGCCAGATTGTCAGCCTGAAATCCTGATTTTGTGATAGTGGTTCTATGCCCCAATATGTGTAGTTTAGCTATAATAAAACAAAATACATATAGCACATTATACCTTCTACTAAAAATCGTTTGGGATTCTTAATATCAACAATAATTAGCTCTTGTGGAACATTCCACTTATTACGTGGCAAAACGGACACAGCCACTTCGTTACCCGCAATACCGAGTGAAAGGTAAATAATAAACTTGAAGGAAGTGAGACAGAGAAGGGGTAACTAAAACAGAAAGAATAGAAAGAAAGGGTTGGTTGGTGGCTGAAATCTAGAAACGTGATTTCGTGTAAAGGGTTGCCGACTAGCTTCCAATGCGGAGAGGGGTGTGGGTCAATTAAATAACTAAATATAGAGCGCCACCTGCTTTTTCCCTGTAGTACACGAAATCAACCGATATAACGAAAGCAGGAAACTTCTACGGACCTATAGCAGCACAACCTGAAATATAAACGTAAACAAGAAGGGAGGACAAAAGTGAAACGCTTTGCTACAATCAGGTACGGGTTTTAATTAGAATCAGGACAAGACAAGTTTGATTCCAGAGCAGATTCGGAGTGGGTTTTCCGACCGCCCTAGAACATGAAAATTATATACACTGGAACCAGAACAAGAAAAGAAATCGTCTAGAAGTATCTAACCATATGTTCTTAAAATAGTATTTACAATAATGATTAATTACACTCAACTTGAGTCCCTAATTAAAGAAATAAAAAGTATAACAATTACCAGCAATAATACCTGAAATATAAATTAATAAATAAGCTTACTAAATGCAGTACCTTCGTAAATGGCCATTTAACTCCAGCGTACAAGTATTTCCTGTATTCAGTGCAGCATGTATTTATGGGATAGTTATGAGAGAAATATAGATCAATAATTAAAGTTGAAGTAACAATAAATAGCCTGAGGGGCAAATTTAATATTATGGAATAATATAGATGGTCTAGGTAAATACTTAAAATTGAAGTACCTAACAGTACATAACCTGAATGGTAAATTTTATATAATAAAGGTAATAATTAATTGAAACTGAAATAACAACATCTAATTTGAAGGGTAATTTAATATTGTAGTAGAACTGCGTTGTTGTGGTGATTTACTCCAACAAGGGGTTGGTAAGGTTTGATATTAAGACAATACAACACACTTATCAAACCTGAGTAGTCCCTAATCTCTAGAGGGGAACCTGACGGATGGAATTAATATCCTCCAGTGTTTCCGATGGCCTGGGACTGGATCAAGGCCGCAACAAGAAGCCACTGGACCTGGGCACTGAAGTTCAGTAACCAGGAGTCACTAAGTCTTCAATTGTCTAGAGGAGGCTGAAGATTGTAGGTCCTACTTGAAGTATACAGTAAGCTTAACGTATAACTCTTTACTGAAAGTTAGGGACTAAAGCGTGACGAATAAAAGGTGACGACTAAAGCGTAACGTCTAAGACTGCAGATTGAAGTGTAACTTCTAAAGGTGATGAATAAAGGCCTGGTAGGTATGTCCAATATTCGGCATTTAACCATATAATTAACAGAAAGTTATGCTTTTACATAGGCAATAGAAAAACACAGAGAAGACTAATAAGAAAAACCACTTACCAAAATTACTTTGGCCTTTAGGAACAAACAATTGGTCACGTTGCTATTTTTCGACTCACAAAAAAAATCCGCACAAGGCGATTGGGTGCTAAAATAACGGATTAGCCACCCTAGATCTATGAGCGAAAACTAGGCAAATCAGAAAATCGGCAAAATGTGCCTGAGGAATTTTCCCGAACACTTAATCGTGGAAAGTCCTCGACCTGAATGACCTCTGCTTGTCCCTGCAATGTCCTTTAAAAAGGCTCTGTCAAAAACTCCAAGGTGAAGGGTTCTGGGGATTTTGATGGTAGTTGGGGCATGGGACTTATTCAAATTAAGTTAGTACTGGTCATTGACTCTATTTGGAGCGCTGTCCAATGTAAATATTGTGATTTTGTTTATTAATAAATTAATTGTCTATTTATTTTAACCCTACTAACAGGAAATCGATTCCATTAATAAACCTCTAACTTAATGATTCTGGGAAGAATGAAAAGTTTGATGAAAAGTTTAGCCACAACTATTGAATAGAAAACAGTGGCTTGAGGAAGGTATGCTATTCAGAGAGGTGAATAGGCTTATTTCCTTTTATTTTGGCGCGGGAAAAATCATCCCGTAACACACTCTGGCTAACCATCTGTTCAGCAGCAAAAACAGCATAACTGCACCGCTTACAACCTCGTCCAGGAGTGCAACGTGGTCCACTATTAGGACGAGCATCGTGAATAATGGGAGCAACACCGTCCGACACCAGAGTTGGAGTGTGTCTGAAACCAAACCCTTTAGGTCCAAAAAGTTTGGCGTAGCAAGCGCAACAGTGGACTTCCTTGTCCGGACCGTCGCAAGCCAAAGTTGAGTCCAAAGGACGGTGGTATTCGGTACAATAATTGAAGTACTTTTTGTGCCATATGGTGGCTTTGGCTAGTTGTTGTTCGACTGCAAATACCAAGCCGCCGCAACGGGGACAGCCTTGGCCTAGTAGCGCATTGATTGACGTGGTGTCCGGGTTGTAGATTTGGATTTTTCTTTTCACTGTAAGGAATTATTGTTTATTAATGAAATGTTGTTGATTTCATCTCTTCAATCATCCTATTTCAACCCAATATAACGAGAAAATTCAATATTATATTTGTAAAAATAATATGAGCTACGCCAATGTGCTTCCGGCTCCGCCCAATGACACATTCACCAATCCGGCATGATAATTTTCAAAGTGGGTAGAGCCCAAAAGGCATTGACGTGGATTTTCTCAATATTATGTAATAATTATTATCAAACTAGTGTCGTAATGTGCCATTTGCTGTAAATTGTAGAGTATATTTTGTAACATTAACAAATTGTTCAATTTGAAAAATTATATAGTTAAATAACTATCAACTGGAAGATGAATATAGAAGTTGATGATCTTAGCAAGCTTTTTACAGCTGGAGATTTTTGAATTAGATATTACAATGATCTTAAATTGAAGTATACCTTTCGAATGAATAACTAGGATTATGATTTAAAACAATAGAGTCTAGATTTTGGAAAAAATACATTTTTCTGCGATTGACAAGAAATGTCAGCATTTTTGACCGGTTGACAGGTCGCAAAACTCAATATTCTGGTATTTCAATTATGTTTCAATAGTTACTAAGGAATCAATGAATAACAATACGGGAACCACTTTTCCGGCCTAGGCCGGGAAAGTAATTCTCGTACTGCTGAATAATTAGAACCAAAAGACAAACATTTAACATGTATTTAACCGATCGCAGAAAAAATAGTATGTGTATTTCGGTGGAAAAGCACATTCTCGGCCTTCGGTGTTTGCCGGCCTCGGCTACGCCTCGCCCGTCAACTTACACCGTCGGCCGAGAATGTGTCACTTTTCCACCTAAATACACAATATACTATTTTCAAAGAAAAATTCAATTCAGAAAAGTAGCCTTTATATCCTAGATTGTTCTCTTATTCAAGACAATTCGAATTAAAATGAAAATGATGCTATTTCTTTGGTTAAAAAACAACTTGTTAAGAATTACAAAATCTCAGAAGAAGAAAAAAAGGTCATATTTTCCATGATATCTTCGCAAATTTTCTATAAATATACATCATGGGAAAGAGTATTAAATTCTAATAAGCCGTGCAAAATTAGTTTTGTAGCTCGTGGAGTTTTCGAGAAATTGAGCTTCAAAGTTGAAATTGCTGGATTATCTGCTCTAAGAGCGCTAGGTGGAGGTGCTGCTGGTATAGCAAAATCAGTTAAAGCTGCCAATGGACATTTTTCGGAAACTTGACACGCGTCGTGGATACCAATCAAAAACCAAAACAGGCGAAGGATGATAGCGCCTCAAACACATCCGAAAAAATGGAATTGGAGGACTGTAAAAGCCCCACAGACGCCGAAGAGGAACTTCTTCGGTTAACCGACGACGAACTCGGCAAAGATCTGGGCGCTCTACAGCTAAAGTGGTGCTGCCAAAAAGAGGATGAAATTCCTCGTAAAAAAGGGATGGGTACAGTCGAAGCCCGCAAAAAAGCTCTTAAGCCAATTAAAGAAAGGGGTACAACCTTTGACAAAGGCGGAAAATGAGGCCGGTCAGAAAGAACAACCCCCGAAGTTCAAGAGAGAAGAAAAGCTAGGACAAGGAAAACGGGCAAAAATTCCCGCCCACAAAAAAGAAGGAACCGAGCAGCAGTGATCCGCCTTCTAGAGCTCCAAAACCAACCTTCAGACAGATAGCTGGAGGCATAAAGGTACGAATACGACCTCAATTGCCTTGTGTCAGTGGAGCAAATACAACCACCAAAGAGGCAATCATGGATAAGATTGTGGGCGAGGTAGCATCGGCTGCTCCATCAAACCGATATTTCTGAGCGCCCACAACAGATCCGGCTATTTTCCATTAGTTTGCAAAAAACATGGCCAGCAAGCAGTGGCTCCAAACTGCAGTTGCCTCCACCAAGCCTTGGGAGGGAGCCTCGATAAAGATGGAAGAGGAATCTGATATTCCTCAATCTGACGTCTTGGTTGCTCGATCCCCAAGCAGCATGGATTAGTCTACGGAGAAAATTTTTAATCTCGTTCAAGGTTAAAATGAGGGCCTGAACGTTAAAAATTGGCGAGGCGAGAGATCCGACGTATTGCCGAGGGTCACCTGGCCATATTAACCATTTCTGTGCACAGTGCATCCGCAGAAAAACTTAAATCAGGAGGCTACGTGGTCAGTTAAAAGTTCGACAATACGACTATAAAGACATAAAGCAGCCGGAGCACAACAGCTGCGGAGCAGTCAAACTCCTCAGAGACAAGCGGCGCCGAACCAAAGGCAGGCACGAATAAAGACTTGGTGTGTCACGAAGACGAAAGTGCCCATGCGGGGTCTGAAAAGTGAGTTCAACTCCAAAGGCTTTCCCCAAACAACCAAAGAGAAGCAACTCACCCAAGCATTAAATGCATCCAAATAAATCTTCAACATTCGAAAGCTGCCACCAGTGATCTTAGAAGAAGAATGTTTGGACAAAAAATCAACTTAGGGCTACTTCAAGAGCCCTGGGTCAATGGAGGCTCTATAAAAGGCCTAAATATTAAATCATGTAAGTAAATATACAACATAACCATTAAAGACCAAGAGCAGCATTGCTGCTCGACAAAAATTTAAAATTCTTACCTGTTCCAGAGTTCAGCACTCGAGACTTGGCAGCTACTTTGGTAGAAGTGCCAACGGAGGGGGCTCAAGGCATATTCTCATAACCTCAGTCTATTTTCCAGGTGATGACAACCCAGCGCCGCCAGAGATCGTTCAACGACTCATCACGTGGTGCAAAGTGAGAAACAGACATTACATTATCGGGGCAGACGCCAACGCCCATCACCAAGTAGGATGGAGAAGCACCGATACAAACTTAAGGGGTGAGTATCTTCTGAATATTTGAACTCTAACAACATAGACATTATCAACAAGGGTAACAAACCCATTTTCATCAACGCCATCAGACAAGAGGTCTAAGATGTGATTCTAGTTGACACTTTCACATCCAACACAATAACCAACTGGTTTGAGTCAAATGAACCCTCCCTGTTGGAGCATCAAGCAATAAAGTTCGACCTAGCGGCAGCAATCAATTTTTGCTTAAATTAATTGATTTCTTGTTAATTAGATCAAAAGACAGTTTCTTTATCGTTGGTTAAGGGTATCCTTAACATATTTATTCAAAGTTCTGATGTTTAATTGAACCTGTCATTTATTAGGATAAAAATGGATCTTACAATCTATTAAGTTTGAAGGTCTTCGTGAAACACACAAAACAACTTTGAAATCACTTGAAAACACTTGACAACACAAAGAAAAACGAAATGTAAGACAGGCGCACGAAAAACATTGGGGATTTTCAAGCGATTGACTAGTCGGTAACTTTGACAGATGAGCAACGCATTTTACGTCATGTAAGACCTATTCGTCATCAAATACGTTTACTTCATTGTTTATCTGTCGAGTGTAACAACCGGTCAAACGCTAAAATTCCTCTATTATGAATTATTAGTAATGATCAAATGAATATTTTGGCATATTGTCATATGTTGACATGTCAGTGTTATAGACATCGGACGTGTCTTTGATGTGATGGTATCAAGCTGGTATTTTACAATTCTGTTGTTGTTAGCGACATCTAGAAAAACGAAAAAAAAACTCATTTTGTGGTTTATTACTGGCAATGAGAGATCGCAGGGCCTGAGCTGCCATTTCGTGACAGATGAATATAATAAGACGAAATTATGGGGCCATGGAGAACTCGATGAGACCTTTAAAATGAGGTATGACACGACCCCTATCCCCTGTTCAAATTTGGGGGGTTGTTCTCCCTCTAGCTAGGGGGTTGAAGATACGGGGATGAAAAAAACTGAAAAATAGTTTTCCCTGAAATCAAATATCTACGTGTCCGAGCGTTTTTCTAGATTTTCATTCCAAATCCAATAAATCGGGGTGAACTCTTTTCCCTGGACACCCTGTATATTAATGTTACCTACCTTTTTGTTACCTTTATTATTTTACTTGGTATTTTCATGATTGTCAGATTGCTATCTTGTCTTGTCATCATTATAAAAAGTGATAAATTGTAATACATACTGCAATACATAGTACATTGCACAATAATAAACCTCAAAAATTATTAATAATTATTGATCAATTTTCTACTACGGTATGCTAGTTGAAATAAATAAAATAGCCTGAAACTGATAACTCGAGATTATACATATAATAAAATGGAAACTCCAAAACATTACCCTTCCGTACACACACTGGGGTCTACCGGACCCCAACAAAAGTTTGAAAGCGTGACAAATTACGAAACTTTTAGCGATAGTTTCAAGACTCCATGTAAATTTAGTTTATGCCCCTCACTACCTACACCCCGAACGGCAGGATCAAGCATTTACTGAAGTCTGTTTTTTTTTTTAAAGATAATTTCACAAGTCAAAAATTTAGTAACTATGTTGGCAACACAAGCCTTTTCTACGTAAAAAAAATTGAAAGCCTTGACAATTTTACATTGTATTGCCAACATAATGTCATTTTGACTGTTATCTTAAAAAACCAGATGTCAAATTTTTGACATAACGCTTCCTAGACAAATAACGACCTACCTAATTAATAATTGTCAGTGTCATTAATTGTCATTTCAAACCATGAATTCATTTTAATAAATCTTGAAATTTTTTCAGGTTTTAATATAAGTTTTCGGGGATAATACCTACCACATAATACCACCAGAGCTTCAAAATTACGGATAATATTTCACGATTGCGTGTTTTATATAATTTCACGAGTCCGTAGAACGACTGAAATTTGCAATGAAAACATGCATGAGTGAAAAATTATCTGGTCCATTTTGACCATTTTAAAGCTCGATTGGTATTTAAAGGATTATTTCACGAATGAAAATGCAAAAAATATGTTGCTAAAGGCCGTTTTACTGCTTGCAATTCTATTTGCAATATGCAAGAAACTTGAACGAGGGCATGCGCAGAAGTGAGTCAGCTGATTGGT